CCAGCTTCAGGTGTTCACTGCAGTAAAAAAAACAAAAAACAAAAAAAAAACACATCAATACACTAATGCTAATGCACACATGCTGAATCAATTTGCATCATTAGAGCAGCATTTAATTAAGAGATACTCAACGCTGTTATTAAGCAGCATGATCCAAATCCCAATTATTGGATTTTCTGGGTTATTCAACTATACTAGACACTCAGATTTTGTTAGAAAGCAAATAAAAACAGTTGCCAAAGAGCATAAATCATATGAAATTGTGATAAAGCCTGTTGCTCACAAATAAAACATGTCCCTCAAACATTGCACACACATAAAACAGGCTTTACAAATTGGCTTAGAGTACAACATTATCTTATCTCGTTTACAAAACAGCCTCTCCGGCCTCGTGTATGAAACAAGTTACATGAAATGACGCAGTTTCCCTCCCCGACAGCAGGTGGTGCCATTGGGACATTTGAGATTTGTTCCGTCAAAGAAACTCATAATAGTTATCCAGAAAATATTGAGTTAATGTGTGTTGTCTCAGTTTTGGGATTTAAAATGAGACAAATCAATTTGAAGGACAGGTCTGACCTCATTTATTTTTTGTAACAATGGCAGACAAAGTTGGAGAGGATTACAGTTTTAAATACGGAAGTGATTAAATCTCAGCCTGAGACCATGTTAAAATGTATGTGACTCTTTAAGGATCAAATAACTGATTTAAAGTCAAGATTTAGAAATCTGTTTGTTCCAGATTCTGTTTAGCGCACGGTTGCCAGGCAACAGGACCGGTAGGACGTTGATGGATGTTATCAGTGAAATTTTCATCAGTATCATGAAATTATTTACTTAAAATCTTGCTGAAAAGTTTGTTTTGTCTTCGGTGTACTAAGATATTTGCACTAGAAACTAGACAAAAATTACTTGGTAAAATTTGGTGTTTTTGCAGTGAAGCATCTGGTATTTTGTGGGAATGCGGGGGCCCCAAATGGTAATTAGCTTGGGGCTACAAAAAGGCGTGGGCCCTCCCTGTGCGCAACATTTCAGGACAGTTTTCAACATTTTATTTGTTTGCAACGTTTTGGCAGGAAATTAACTCCAAATAATTGTTAGTAAATCTCCTAATATCCTCACTTTTGATGATTTTTTATGAATAATACATCACAGCTTTTACCACAAAAGGTTTGAGCGAACTGCTGGGCAACAGCTGGAAGGATATCAGTCGGGATTAACCGCTCCTCTCCTCGTCTAATTGAATTTCACCTCAACAGGAACCTGTGGCAGCCAGCCCAAGGTTAAGACAGTGTTGATATTGGCTTCCTGTACCCTCCAACTCACCAAAGTCCCTTCGTATGAATTATTCAGTCGGAGCTGAAAAGAGGCCAGACCAAAGGGAGATAACCTCAGCCGTTCAGATCATCCAGTCATTGTAAATAAAACATCTTTTAAAGTAAGCTTCAGGCTTTTATTGCGTTCGTCGGGGTGCTCTGTGGCTTATCGGCGACATCTTATGAATGATATCATTTCCAGTCCGGACAGGTTTGTGCTGTCGGGGGTTCTGGTTCGCCGGTGTTTAAAAATCATTGTCATGACCTCGCTGAAATTTCCCATCAGTTTCAGCCTCACACAGACTGAGAGGCAGGTAATGAAAACATCGCTGCTCCTCCAGCTGTATCCAAAATGATGGAGCTCATTTCCCCGCTTGTTTCCTCGTCCTCCATGATGCAGAAGTACAATCTCGCTGTCAGGAGCGCCGATTGGGTTTTATGCTGTAAATAAAACTAAGTTTGGGAAACCTTTGTGGAATAGATGTCACACTTTGTCCCGGCGAACCGTAAAACTGATAACAGAAAACAGCAGCGCAAACGATCAGGTGATTTTCTTTAGAAGTATTCTACGTTTTCTCACAATACAATGACAAACATCAGTTTGTTTTGTTGGGATTTTATGTGATAAAGTCCAAAGAAAATGATGTTTTCAATCTTTTTTTACACAAATCAGAAGTCTGTAGAAGACCATTTCATTTCAGCCATTTTTACTCTAATAAAAGTTACATTAACTCTTTTAATTTCCCTCAATTCAAAAATACTTAATTAACTTAAATAACTTAAAATCTAGTGTCATTGTGCTATGAAGGATCTCCAGTAGCAGTCAATGTTGCAGTTAACCTGCAACACTGACGGAAGACTGAACTTAGCAAATTCATTCAGTAGCTAATAAACAGATGAAAGCATTAGTTGTTAGCAAGCGCAGCTAATCCACCTCATTTGTTTTTGCCACTCCTCTTTAAAGGGGCAGTTCTATAAATGTTCCAGGCACGTAGCGTCATTTTACATGAAACTGTTACCTTCAGTGGCTTTAACAATATACAGCAAACAGAACCTAAAAGAAATTTGATTTTACAATTTAAAACCTTGAAATTGAGCTTCAAATATGCTATGCTAATACTAATTCTCCCCTGACGTTTAGCACAACATTTTATGCTAACACTATGCTATTAGCATACCTGTAAAATGTGCAAAATAAATTAAGTCTACTTACTTACTTATATGAGTAAATTAAAATACATTTGAGTGCTTGTGATTTAATTATATAGTTTCTGCAACTTCTTACAGCTTTTTATTGACAGAGTTTTTAGTTATTTGTCTGGTTTAGGAATAATGTTTAATGTTGTTGAGTTATTTAACTTATTATGAATGAATCACTTACTTATTTGTATATTTTCCCTTAACATCCAAAGTTGTTTTGTGTGTTTCTACTACATTTTCTATATTTATTGAAATACACTTTTTTTTTTTACTTATGTTCTTGCTGTCAGGAGCGCCGATTGGGTTTTATGTTGTAAATAAAACTGCAGTTGCTATTTTTTAAATAAAAATGAATTCTGACGATGAAATAAACCGCTTTACGTTTCTCATTTTGAGCTCTCCTCATGATTCTTGTGGGTCAGGAAACTGCAGAAACGTGACCAATCCACGGTGACAGGCTTACGGGACCCTTCATGACAGACTGAAGCAGTAAACTAATTCTGCCCTGACATTTAGCTTCACCCTCAAACCTGCAATTAAGCCTGTGCATCTCTGTGACTAACATGATACACATCTCTGTACACCGGGAACCAGACACAAAGATGGAATAAACTGATTAAACTGACCTCTTTACCCAGAATGCAGCTTGATTCAAAGATAATAACATATCATTCAGCTGAGTATGTCTAAGTAGAAACCTTAATAAAATGGCATTTCATAAACAGATTAACTTTTGTAACGTCTGATATGTATTGAACAAAAACAAGTTTAGTGAAAAATAATTGAAAAAACAAACTCTATGTCACATGTGTCAAACTGGAGGCCCGGGGGCCAAATCCGGCTCGCCCTAGCTTTCTATCTGGCCTCCCGAGGAACACAGTTATGTGCTTAATTATTATCTTATCAATCAAATTAAAGCTGCTTTTATCCTTTTGGTGCCAATTTACATTAATCAGTCCCTCCACTTTTTCATATTTTTTGCATCTTTATTGCAAATATTCCACAAAAAATGTACAAAAACAATTGGTTTTATTGTGTTTTCCAGGCACACAGACCAATTTTATAGCACAGTCAAGTAACTATGTTACCTTAAGCTGCTAAAAAATGCTCTACATGTGAAATATAATTTCAAATTTGTAATTTAACAGGTTGAAATTGGGGCTCTGTCTCTTTAAGAAGCTTCTGCTCTTTCTGAAACTCCGCCTTCAGGAAGTCATCCCAACATGGCTCCTCTATTAAACCTTTAGCAACTTTTTTAGCAGCGTTTCACTGAGAAGTAGCTCCTATAATGAACTCAGCAGATGTTTGATAATTGCTGCTGGCTCGTCTGCAGGAGCTGCTCTGTGAGGCAGAAGCTCAGAAACTGCAGTTTGGAGGAGGAGCTGTGTCCCAAAGGCGGGGCTAGGTCCAACCAGGCGTTTGCACGGCTGGATGGTTGCCATGGCGGCTAAATGATTTCTCAAACATCTATGAAAGAATCAACGCAACAATTCAAACATGGTTTTGATGAGTGAATAACTTTATAAAAACAGTAAATTTTACATAATACTGCGCCTTCAAATTACCTGCAGTATTTCTTATTTCTGTCTTACTTGATGTCAAGTTAAAACAGCAACAAAAAGTCACATTTACTGTCATAGATGCAAATATTTATAAATTAGCAACACAAAATCAGAAAAAAATCACATTGCGAAGAAATGTTCAATATTATTTAATTTTAAAAAGTATCAAATACAGCTATTTATTAATATTTTTGACAATTTGTTAATTGCCCTTATCAATACATTCTTTGAAAATAATCATGATCTTGATATGGCTTTAAATGAAAATGAGGTTGATATGGCTGCTATGAAGAAAAAAATAAAGTATTCGCTTTCAAAGAGTTTTAATTTAAAACATAAAAATCTTTATTATGTGTTAATTATTCAAAGCTGCTGCAAGCATCACTCATGAAAGCTACCTGAGCTGAAAATTTAATTTCTCTGCTCCGGGACACTGAAGAGGTAATAAAAAAAGTAATAATAATGGAGGACGTATTGAAAGCTCTGCTCTCAGTAGCACTGAGGGGTGAATGTATTTAATGCAGATCAGAGCATCTGGTCACGATAAAAAGGAGATAATTATGTAGATTTTTGGAGCTCCTTGTCAGAAAAAAGAATGATGTCCTGCCTTTCATAGAAAGTTTAGTGGAAGGAAAAAGTGTAGTAGGGAATGGCATCAAAGAGAACAAATAATTGCAGCCTTTAGTGGACTGTCGAACAAAATTTATTCAAAAATTTGGGGGAAGTTAAGAAGGACAGAGGCTGGAGTCAGGAACGAACACGAGCAGATAAACGGTAAACATGGGATAAACATGTTGCCAGAGACATCAGACACGTCTTACTGAAGACCATTGCTCTTTTTGGTTATCTGTAATCTATAATGAATCAGAATTACAACAAATAAAGACATTTAATAAAAACTAATGTTGAACTTTTTTATAATATTAAAATTTTTAGTAGGTATTTGTGTTACTGAATAGGTTTTCATTGTTGTTTCTTGATTTGTTCATGTTTGAGACATTCACTGTAGTCATTCTCTGCCTCCATATCATTTCAAGTCATCATCCACTTTCCTAAAAACGACACGTTGCAAAGTGACGTCACACCTGCAAGATTAACAGTGAGAGAGAGCGAAGCAGCTCAGTTGTGCTAGCTTGACTTTGGAAACCGAACAGGTAGCGGTGCTGCAGAATTCGGTGTGTGGTTTCTGTTCAGGTAAAGAGAAAAAAGGTAACCCACAAATCAACTTTCTCATCAGATTATGTTTCCCAACAATGGCAGCAGGAAGAGATCTGTGTAAATACAGATTTTACTGTGTAAATATGGTAAAATTATGGCAACCAGCCCAGCATATTGCATATCATGTAAATCTTGGGTAAGTATGAAGATGTTTTTCTCTTAAAAATGTCTGAACTTGTCCTAAAGATGAACTATAATCACTTTTGCTTTGTGAGAAATCTGCACAAAATAAGAAGCAACACACAAGAATGAAGCTTCATAAGAAAATGGTTAATGTTTGACCTTGTGGTTCTTCTGTTCGGTGCTCTGTGATTTTCTTCCTCTAATCATTTCTGTCACTTCTGCAGAACCGACAAAGGGACCCAAATGGACCTGCAGTGAATAGACTGAAAATGAAAAGAGGATGAGACGGCAGACAAGAAAGAAAGTCCTGTTCCTTAACAGTGCAAGGAAGTGATGGCAAAGAAAAAGTGTGGAGGACAGAAAGAAAGAAACGAATGAAGACGGGTGGATGCAGAGAGTTTCATGAAGTTTGTTTAGAGAATAAACCAAAACGACAAACCAGGGACTTCAGTCCAGAGAGGAAAACTCTGCTCCAACACGGCCTTGGTGTGTAGCAGAAAAACAAGACCTGAGCAGAAACTGGATTATTATAACTTACAATTTTATCATTTTAATGAGTATTTTATGTTTTATGCGGCAGAGCTGGAATAGTTGGTAGCATTTCTGCCTTTGAGCAAGAAGGTTCTGGGTTCAAATCCCAACCTGCACTGCAAAAACACAAAATCTTACCAACTGTTTTTGGTCTGTTTTATAGTGCAAATATATTAGTGCACTTAAAATAAAACAAAACTAACTTTTAAGAATCTTTTCAGCAAGAAAAAGGAGTTTTTTTTAAGTCAATGATTCATTAATACTGACAAAAAAAGATTATTTTATTTATAACATGGGAAAAATTATATAATTAAAATAATCTGCCAGTGAATCTACTGTTTTTTCATCAATATTAAGGAATTACTAACTTTACAAAAAGCTCATATTACACTTGAGATAATTTCTTCACAGCCTCCACTCTACTTTAAATCAACTGGGTTGTGTGCCGGTTTATTAAGTCTCCACAAACTAGAAGAAATGTGATTAAAATCTAGTTTTGTTTTGATTTTGTCATTTTTTGCATTGATGCCAAAGTTTTCTAGGCTAAATAAAGACTTATTATTCTAAATTATACTGTTGTTTTCTAATAAAATCAAAATTTTTCAGATAAATTTGTGTATTTATAATATTTAAAATAGAAAAGGTAAAGTGAAGAGAGCTGGACTGGGTCCATATATAATGAGAAAATGTAAAACACTGCAAAAAAAAAAAAATCTTATGAAGAATATTTAGTTTCTAGTGCGAATATCTTATTACAACTAAAATAAGACTTATAAGTAGCTTGTTTTAAGTAAATAATTCCTTAATATTGATTAAAATATGTATTTGGTAATAAGGTATTGTATTTACACTTAGAAATAAAAAAGTCTTACTTGTTTTATTATGCTTTGTTGGTGAAATGTCTGTCGGAAATAAATGATCATAATCAATAATCAATCAAAATGTTCTTGTTTCATTGGCAGATTATTTCACTTATGAAATTTTGCTCATCTTTCAATGGAACCGATATATTTTTATTGATATTAAATAATTATTGACATAAAACAAGCTCTTAGACTTGGTTGAAAATATATTTATGAGTTAGTTTTGTCTTATTTCAAGTGTAATAAGGTATTTGCACTAAAAACTGGATCAAAATACTTGGTGTTTTGCAGGTTTTTGGAGGAATACTTTAAAAAACAACATGGCCGCCCAGCTGAATGACAAGAGAAACCCTTAATATTTCTCCAGAGTGCCAACAAACTTTAAAGACCCCCACTGCGAACGGTTAGATTATCATAATTTAAAATATCATTAAATCTTTGCAGGCAAAATTTGCTTTGACATAAACGACAAGTTAAATGTCAGTTTGAAACCCAAAGGAGATGAAGTTATGCAAAAAAAGTCCCACTTACTGTCAAAATGCTCCCAATTATAATGTGCAGTGTCAGAGCAGTCCTGCGTTTCGTGGCGTTAACGTCGATACCAGCGGCCTTCTGGGAACAAAGGAGCTCATTCAGGAGGAAAGCTTCAAATCTCCTGCTTCTCCTCGATACAGCGGTGTTAATGAGAGTCGGTCAGAAATAAGCTTGTTCTGTGGTTTTCTCTCAATAAGTGGTGAAGAAATCGCATGAACTGACGATTAAAAACAAACAGGAAAATGTGTGTTTTTAAAGTATTCCCTTGTTAGCTTTTAAAATGCAGAATTTATTTTAAAATGCAGAATTTATTTATTTATTAGATTGGAACCAGAGTTGTAATAGTTTTATCCAGTAGTTATCCAGTAGTTTTGTTTTATTTTATTGCAACTTTTTGTCTAATTTAGTTGGATTTAATTAGTTGTTAAGAATGCTGATTTAATTATTATCTAAATACTGTTTTGTTTTAGTTTAGTAGTTGTAGTAGTTTTCAAAGTTGTGTAGTTACATTTACTTGAGTAACTTTTTCTGACAAAATAAATTACTTTTAGGAATATTTTTACGACGCTGTACTTTTTACTTTTACTTGAGTAATTTGATTGTGAAGTATCGCTACTCTTACTTGAGTAAAGTTTCTGGATTCCCTACCGAACAGAACCAAAACACATCAAATTCTACAGCACATCTACATGCTCAGGTTGTCATAGTCAAGCTAGCATGACTGATCTACTTCCTTTGCTATTTTTTCTTAATTAAAACTTTTTCCTGACCTTGTTGTCGAGTCGTCCATTGTGTAGCAAAGCACTGCGTCCCTTTTCCTTTAAAATATCATTGTACATTTAAGATTTAGTGCATTATATTAATAACATAACAGCTAAAACCAATGCTAGTCATCGTCAGCTGGCAGCTTTTTGCCCTCCAGCAGGGAGATGGAGGCAGGACAAAAGTGTTTTCTCAGTTTAAGTTTTCATTATTTAGTTAGTTTTAGTTTCTTAATTGGAGCAGCGTATTACATCAGTAACAGACGGAGAACAAAAGCACGTCAGTATGTTGATTTTCCTTTAAACAAATCGTAAGCGACAACAGAAGAGCTCAGCAGCAAGGTGTAAAATGCTAATGAACTCTACAAAGTCTGATTTCCTTTCCCAAGTTGATGAGCTTTGACGGTAATGAAAAGCTGTGCTGATTGACACCGAATCTAATTGTAATCACAGTAAAGTTAGAAGCGTCTCCCCTTGTTGCTTAGAAACAGAGAGCCTTGTGCGCCAAGCACATCTTGTCAAGCTCAATAAAAATAAACAGTCACTGAGAAAACTTTGAATGCGCTCCGGTGAGGATAGCAGAGGCATCAAAACAAATGCGGCTCAGGTCTAATATGCTGTCCATACTTTTAAATTACTTCCTTTTCACTAAAGAGATAATTACAGCCTGCTTATAGATGTGGAAACGTCTCATAATGTTTATATGTCACCTTTCCAAGAAGTTATGTAATCAAGTAGATTTTTAAAATTAAAGAGTGAAGACTTTAAGAGAACATTTATTTTATCTCCCACCATAAAAAGACCTGAAATATCAACACACGAGCAAATAAAACAGAAACGTTAAAGAATAAGCTGAATAGATCATCTTTATGATTGTTAATCCTGCTGGTTTTATGATGTTTGAGGTTTTAGTCCAGCTAATTAAAAAGTGTCATGCAAGGCGATTTGAAAAGACAGCAAATAAAGTTTAACAACAAAGCCAGCAATCAGAGGATTCACGCTGTTTCTTTATTTGGCAAACAAAGTGATGGATTATTCAACTAGTTTACCAAAACTAAACAAAACCTTTGCATATTGCCGTTTTTTCCAAATTTCATTTTTGAAGGGCACCTGATACGCAAATTGTGCATGTTTTTATACTTCCATCTGGGTTTCTACTACTGCTAAAAACAGAATAAATGTTTTAAAAACCTCTGGAATGTTAAGTCACTGTTGATGTGTGCTGCTTCGTTACCTAGCAACCCCAGCCAAGCTCAGCCCGTTACCTAGCAACCCAAGAGTTCCAGAAGATTGAGTCAGTTGGTTTTACCAGATTCTGAGTGAATCGATGCTGGATAGTAATTTGTTCACTGCTATTCTTGAATATTTGTCATTCAGATGGAACACACAGAATGGAAGTTATATTAATTTGATACTTTTATTGATTCATTTTACAATGTTCTGATTACACAACAGCTCCATGATTAAAAAACAACAGGAATTTGTGGTTGATTTTCTTAAAATCCACACAAAAATATTACATATACATTCATATAACAGCGTATTAGGGCCAGTGTAGAGAGAGAGAAAAACAGTTAATTTCTGCCAAAAACTCAGACATTTTTTTAGTGTAATTATTTTTGAGTTTCAAAAGATAAAAAAACATTTGCTGAAAAAAACTGAAATTTTAAGATTAATCTCAAAGTTTCTAGAAAAAAAAACCTGGGAAACTTCTGAGTGTGAAAAGTCAACAATTTGCTAAAAAAAAAATCTGAAATTTGAAATTAATCAAAATTGGGAAAAAGGGAAAAAAGTGAAAATTTCCTTGATTCAAAAATTTAAAATATTCAACTTTTAAAATTTTCTGAGTTTCAAAAGTGAAAAATGTAAGACTTTTGAAACTCAGAAATTTAATTTTTTTTCTTTCTTTTTTTGAAAATTTGCAACTTTTCAAATTTGAACATATTTGGGGTTTTTTGGTAAATTTCTGAGATTTTTTTTGGGTGGAAATGTAATATTTTTTATGTTTTTCTTCTCTATCTACAATGGCTCTAATATGCTTCACCTACTTATTAAGTAAAATGTTCCTGTCTCTTTGTACAGAAACCAAATGTGTTTTTGCAGCCAACAGCAAACATTTGTCTTCATTCTAGCTGGATAATTGTGTCAACGCTCTGAGAGTTTGAATAAACAAGATCATAACTCCAGGCCAACACAAACTGTAGGAGCAAAAGACATTAAATCAAATGTTACTGGGTTTCCATGTCGAGGAAAACCCACATTAAAGTCCAACTTGTTCTCACAATAATTCTTGTCAGTATCCATTAAAATGTGTTTTTTCATCATCCTGCAATGAAAAGAGATTTTATCACCTTTAGAGCTGAAAATGGAGCTGTGTGGATTCATATCATTATTCTTCATAAATGTTTCAGTAACATAGAGAACATATAGGCAGCCAGATGGCCTGCAGGATTTAGCCTGTATGGAAGCTGAAAGACTTTATATGTGCAGCTTTCTTAGAGAATCATAATATTTGAGTTACAAGAAAAGGGAGCGTGTTAAGAAGGCTTTGTTCCCCACAGTGTTCATTAATAATATACATAGATTTTATATTATGCAACCCTGAGGCCTGAAACGCTGCGATGGATGCATTTAAACAAATAAAACGAATCAGATAAAGTAGAATAAAGTCTTTATGTGCAGTGCACACGAGCACAAAGAAACTCCTCAGTGCAACAAGACAGAACAGAATTATAGAACATGTAAATTATGCTGAAATTAAAACCGTCTTTAAAGGGCAGATATAATTTAAGTAGCTTTAACATCTAAACTTGATTTTTACAGAGTCCGTTACAAATGAAAATTAGGTTTCTGTTGCAAATGTTTGGACAGTATGATATTTACTGTAAATAATATTAAAGTTTTAGCTTTAGAGGAATTATTGTTTATGATTATTGTTTTAGGATTAGCAAACTTTTCAGCTAGCAGTGCCCAAATCTAAAAGCCAATATAAAAGGTTCATTTTCCACAATCCTTTAATGTGAACAAGTCCATGTTGTGAAAATGATGTAAGATGTAAAAAACAGATCATGATACAATAAAACCTTAAAATGAATGAGGAAAGAATCTCCTCCTCTGTCGAAAAAGGCGCAATGTTTCCCAACTTTTCCTCCTCAGGTGTAAAAACACAATAAGCGTGAAGGACTCATTGTACTTGTTAAATATATTATCACCGAATGATTGCACAATTTTCACATCGCAGAGCTCAATGTGAAGAGACCTGCAAGCCGTGTTGTCAAGCTGAGCATAAAACACGATGGACGGGTGAATTGTTGGAGATATTTTCAGCCAGAGAAAAACACGAAGCTGAAGCTTTGCCAGCGACAAGCTGGGAGTTGTCAGATAAAATGTGGAACACCTTGAGGACAGAATTAGAAATAGAAGAAGTTTGTCTGGTTGTTTTCCCTGGATTGGCACTCGCTACGCTAATCTCTGGTTGTGAAAAGGTTACACCTGCAGAGAGGTGCATTTGGTAGCAGCACAGTCCGATGAAAACGCGGCTGCTTCCTCAGCATCAGAGCTGCAAATCAGCTGAGAGCCGCAGCCTCATGAGCTGCTGTCGTTTCTGATGATGAAACGGAGATTTTCATAAATACAAAGGAACTCCAGTAAGAGCAGCACCGCTTCAACGTGTTTTTACTCAAGTAGTAAAAATATTACTTTTCTAAAAGTTACTTAAGTCAATGAAGTTGAGTCAGTGCAGCTAGTTGCTACCCAACTGATAGAATAATTTAATTTAAAATATACATGGTATTATTATAACATATGCTGTGAAAGAGGATTATTTGTTTTTTTTAGATATTTTACATCAAAAAAAGCATCTATCAGTTTTTGAACAGCGGTGATACTAGCTCGGTTTCCATTCATCATATAATTGCGCAATTTGACATTTTGAAAATAAATACATTAAACAAAACACAGAAATTTTGCTAAATGTTTTTTGATTAAATCGTTTTGGTGCTATAGGATAATTTGGTCCAAATTGGTTTATTTTTGCAGAACCACATTGGAAACATTTATTTGCATCAAACGAGTCATGTGTTCAACAACCAGATGTTGCCAGTAGCTGCGTTTCCATCACAAATAAAACTCTGTCAATACTCCACTAGTGTCAAATAAACGCAACTTTGCAATTGCGATGAATTAAGAAAAGCAATTAATTAACACGTGAATAAGTTTATGTGACAAATCATTAAAAAAAATCATCCTCCTCTTACTTCCTGTCGTCTTCTTTGTCGTTTCCGCCAGTAGTAACATCCAGTTGTTGGCCAGATGACTGTTGTGATGCGAAAAAAGTGTTTCCATTGCAGTTTTGAGAAAAACATAAATTTCGATATGGCCAACAAAAAAACAAGTCATACTAACACAAAAATGTTTTATTAAAAAATGTAAGCTCTGCAGGTTTCCATTCAGCAAACTTATTTTTGTAATTCCAATTACATTATACA